CCTGCCTCTGCCTCCCGAGTGCTGGGATTAAAGGCGTGCAACACCAATGCCCGGTGAGAGTTTCTTTTTTTAATAAAAAAATAATTTAACTTACTTTATGTGCATTGATGTAAAGGTGTCAGATCTCCTGGAACTGACGTTACAGACTTGTGAGCTGCCATGTGGGTGCTGGGAATTGAGCTAGCTCTCCAGCCCAGAGAGTTTTCTTATTGAGGAAGAAAACGGTTAAGAATAATCATTGTACCTGTTCTTCTTTTATTTAAAACACTTAAGTATGAAGTATGGAGAGAAGTGCTAAGAAAAGACCAGGGCCATGAGCTGATTGCTGCTTAGGAATCAAAAGCAGATGTAGCAGAATATTTTGGAAATACAGGAGGATGGATTCTAAGATGGAGTAATATCTGAGGATGGTCTCTGAATGTCATTTGCCAGTTGGGAAAGCATGTGAGGAGTGAGCGTAGCAGCTGTGATTGCTCCCCCTTCAGAGACTTGTTCTCAGGTCTGCTTAGAGCTGCCCTAGCAGGACGTCCTCTTCTCCTCCTCCCCTCTCTCCTGCTGCCGGCTCTCCTTTCCTTCCAGGGCTTTGTACATGCTGGACAACGCCACACTCATGCATACAAACACACTCCAGCCCTCATCTAAAGTTGTAAAGTCAGAGTGGGATGATTACTTACTTTTTTATGTACATTAGTGTTTTGCCACGGAACTGGAGTTACAGACAATTGTGAGCTGCCATGAGGGTGCTGTGAATTGAACTTGGGTCCTCTGGAAGAGCATTCAGTGCTCTTAACCACCGAGCCATCTCTCTATCCGCTAGTAGGTTCACTCTTATCCCCCACCCCACTGATTGTCTTTCTCATTCCAGATGGGCTTTCCTTCTAAGACAGACAGCCCCAGCTGTGAATATTCTCGATTTGATTTTGATAGTGATGAGGACTTCAATGCTTTCTTCAATTGTAAGTGCCTGAAAATTCCTTCCGGTACTCTCAGAAAGGCATCTACTGCTGTAATCATGGGTGTGACACATCTCTTAGGTTCCAGATTCCTACTGCAGAAGCATGCTGGCACCACATGTCAGCACTGTGTATTCTATGCTGTGTGTTGTGTTATTGTTTGTACTGTCATCCCCACATGTTGGCATGGTGTATTCTGTGCCCAGGAATTGTATTCATCCTTTCCACCACCATCCCATGTTGTACCTTTTAAGAAAGAAGGTTGTTCTCCCCAGCAGCCAGACCATCTTTCATCCTGTCTAGCCGCTCCTTTTACTTTCAGTAGAAATAGTAAACCAAGGTTAGTTTGCTGGTTACAGGATGGCAAGACATTTTCAGAGGTAATTTATTTTTTTATGTTTTCAGGATCATTAATTCAAGAACCGTCTAATGAGCCACTGTTGGATCTAGAACATGAGTGTGCAAACTAGTCCCCGAAGCTGAATAAATGAATAGCTGCTCTGTACTGTGCCAGGTGTTGATTTGTGTCTATTTTCTTGCCAGCCTCCCGAGCCCAGCAAGGAGAGGTGTTGAGATGTGTGTGTCGCTTGGATCCTAAGGCTAGCTTCCAGATGGCTGCAGAGTGGCTCAAGTACCAGCTGTTGGCTCCTATTGACACAGGACCTGTGAACTGTTAGTTTTGTGCCTTTTGTCTTTTATTGCTAAATGTACAATAGCTATGTACAATGTACAGCTAAAGCTGTACAAAACCTATACATAAGAGATAAGCCAGAGTTACATGTCAGAGCTGGATGTTAATACTGTTAAAAACCAGAGGAAAAGACAGATAATACTAAGTATGTGGCTTTTGTTTAGATTAGGATGAAGCCACCATGTCCCTATCAGCTTTGTCTTTGTTTTTCTCTTCTTTTTTTTTTTTTTTTTTAAGATTTTTATTTATTATGTATGCAGTCTTCTGCCTGCACTCCAGCAGAGGGCGCGAGATCTCATCCAAGCTGGTTCTTAGCCACCATGTGGTTTTCGGGAATTGAACTCAGGACCTCTGAAAGAACAGTCAGTGCTCTTAACCGCTGAGCCATCTCTCCAGCCCTGTTTTTCTCTTCTAATAGCATCAACAGTTGTTGGTTTTATTGTTTTCCTTCAGGGACATCATTAATCAAACTGCATGTCTAGTCCTAACTCTTGCTTCAACCAGGTGCCAATATATAGCGTTAGCACTAAATTCAGGAAGAACCTCTGGTTAGACATAGCAGGGTCAATTCAGGGACTTACTCATCAAGCCCTCAGAACCTGTGGTCAGTCTCACTTCACATCAAACTGAAATTCCTGCACCATGCAAGAGCTCCAGTTCAACTTGTGGCTAGTACATTTGCTTGGTGGGTAGGGTTAATCAAGCAGGAGAGGTGACATACAAGTACATGTCATGCCAGTATGATGGTCAGGAAGGGCACTGAAGGTGAGCTAACCTGACTATGTGAGGCAGCGCTATATGGAGGCTGACCTTCAACTATTTGTCTCTATTGGTGGCTTCTTCCTGGGTCCTCTGTTTTGGTGATATGTATGAACTTGGACCCAACCACATTTCTCTAGATGTAGTTCTGAGAATTGCTATGAGGCTACTGGATGTGAAGCAGCATTTTATAGCTTAAGTAATTTCCTTGTTGGACGAATTGTTCTTTTATTTTTTCTGTTGTTGGTATTGGGGTGTGTGTCTGCGAATGCTTACATATATGTGTTTTAAACAGAGTCTCTTTGTGTAACCTAGGCTTGCCTAGAACTCTGGGTAGCCTAAGCTGGTCTCAGACTCAACTGCTCTCATCCCTTACCCTCGGCACTGCTAAACCCCAAGGGATAGATGCACCCAGGACCTTGTACATTCATGCTAAGCAAGACCACTGCTTCTGAGCAACAGCCCAGCTTGTAATAATTCTTTATGACCTCAAATAGTTTAATTATTTGGTGTCTCCTAGATTGCCATCTAACAAGGGCAGCAATTAATAGTTTTCAAATGCTTTGTAACCCACATTTACTTACTTGCATGTTCTCAACAGACAGAGCCCATGGAAACAGGTGGGGGGAGCGTAGCCACCTTCTCAGTCCTCATAATTAGTGCTGTCAGATCTCCCTGCTCTTTTATTTTTAAAATGACCAGGCGGTCTTTGAGCCTCTGGTTGTGTCTTTGTGTTCTACCACACTGATAAGTGTTTGCATGTGTGTTTCAAAAGCGTGTTCTACAGGTGGAACTGGAGAGGGCGGCTACTGCACCATCTTCTCGTCATCATATGTGCAGTGGGAGGCCATGACTTTCTTTTTGGAAAGTGTGATCAACCAGATGTTTCGAACAATAGACAAAGAAGTAAGTCTATTGAATAATTTTTGATCTTGTGTCAACTGGTAGGTGGATGGGGAAATCTGTGACTATGCATCTTACAAAAGAGAAAACAGATTTAGAGAGGTTAAATACATACTCAAATTCAAATGCAATAAATGGTCAAGCTTCAGCATTTAGTGTCCATTGTGAGGTGATATGGTAAACCTGATTACCACAGGAGCCACATGGAGCTAGGACGGTGACAGAAATGTGATCATTTGAGGAGGTACTCTTCATAAGGCAGCTTTCTTGGTTATAGCAAATAAAGCTTAGTGTTTGTGCTGGGTGGCCATTGTCCTCCCCAGAATATTAATTGATAGATAGGCTTGTCTTGCTATAATTCTTGTCATCTGTTAGAACATTACCTTAGCTGTAACTGACTGGATAGCAGCATATGCTATATTGTCCATATTAATCAAAATTAAATCACTGGGAGTTTGGAAGTGATTGCCCTTTTAAATTGGATCTCAGGGTGACTAACGTCACCTGCTTTTCAATTAGAAATGAAGACACTCTTTTGGCCCATTATGTAGCAAAACCTACTGGAATTCTGCAGTTTTTTTACAGGTTAGGTTATACTTATTTATATGAATAAGTGTGTTGCAGGGTGGTGGTAGCACATGCCTTTAATCCCAGCACTTGGGAGGCAGGCGGATCTGTGAATTCAAGGCCAGCCTGGTCTACAGATTGAGTCCTGGACAGTCAGGGCTATTACACAGGGAAACCCTGTCTTCGGAATAAGTGTAGAACATCAAGAAAACCACTTATCAAACAAGGGAAAACAATCCTGCTATCTCCCTTTCTGTTTAAATCAAGACACCTCCAGTGGGCATATAAACGTGGGCCTGATCTTGCTTGGAAGCAGGAGATAGACTTCTCAGAGTTTGTCAATTTCTGTCCTAAGTATAAAAAGTGTTTGAGGACAGGTGCCTGTGGGTTGTGGCTGGATTTTATAGTGATAGACTTCTCCGAGTTTGTCAGTCTGTGTCGTAAGTACAAATGTGTTTGAGGACAGTTGCCTATGGGTGTGGCTGATTTTGTAATGGGCCCTTCATTTTCTTCTCACTATATTGCTGATGATTTAATCTTGGGCCTTGAATGTGACCTTTTGTTTGTTTTTGTTTTTCTGTTTGTTTTTCGACAGGGATTTTTCTGTGTAACAGCACTAGCTGTCCTGGAACTCATTCTGTAGACAAGGCTGGCCTTGAACTCACAGAGATCCTCCTGTCTCTGCCTCCTGAGTGCTGGGATCAAAGGTGTGCACCACCACTGCCTAGCACAATTTTTTAAATAAAGCACGACAGTGATTTAGACTTTAATGATTAAAAGCAGTATAAGCTGGACCTCATAGTACAGGTTTATAATCCCAGCGACATGGGAAGCTAAGGCCAGGTTGGACTAACTGAAACTGTCTAAGACCCAAAGTACAGGCAGTGAGGGGGAGAACTGAGGTTGAGCCCCTGATGGAGCATTGTCCTACTATACATGAGGCTCTGGCTGCGGTTCCCAGCAACACACAAAACTACTTGTGCATGCAGTGTGTCCAGTCACATGTGCTAACTGGTGTAAAGAAAATGCAGTGGTTGTGGTGGTCCTTGATTTGTGGCCCTATTGACTGCTTTCTCCTGTTTGTCATAGGAAGTCCCGATTCATGATGGGATAGAGCTGCTGCAGATGGTTTTGAACTTTGAGATGAAGGATCCCCTCATCCTGTCCTGTGTCCTCACCAATGTCTCAGCTCTCTTCCCATTTGTCACATACAAACCTGAGTTCCTGCCCCATGTCTTCTCTAAGGTAGAGCCCTGTCTTCTTTGTAAATTTTATTTTAAATCATGAGTCACCTTTTGTACTTGTTTGAAGTCTGTATTATAAACTGGTCAAGAGGCAGACATAGGTGTTCATTCATTCATTAGATAATTTACTCGGTACTTCCTGTGGATCAGGCACTGTGCTAGTACCTATCATTCAGACCATTGTGGGGAAGACGCATGAACAGGCATTGTACCTGCCTATGTGGTACGGCAACGAATACTCTTTGATGCTACGGAACAGAAAGGAGAGCTAAGGAAGGTTTCCAAGTGTGCATTGATTGTGAGAGGCAGGGACAGCATGGATAATTTTTCAAGTTTCTGGTTTAGTGATTCAGTTCATCTGAAGTTAATATTAAACATTAAAATTAAGACAGCTCTTAATATTAGTGATTGGAGTTTACATGTCTAAAGTTTATGGGGTGATGAGATAAAATTAAGGCATTATCCCAAGACTATGAGTGTAGGGTGTCTGGATGATGGTCAGGAACACTTGCTGTTCTCACAAGGGATGAGAGTTCAGTTCCCAGCACCCACATTGTTGCTCACAACCACCTGCTCACTTCAGCTCCAGAGAAACTTTACACTCTTGTATTGGTCTCAGGTACCACAGATGCATATGATGTGGGCAGAACACTTAGACATATAAATGAATAAATAAATGTAGAAGCCAGAGAAAAGGCACTAGTCATTTAGCTATGGGAAAGTCTGTAAGTATCAGCATCAGTGGAGAGTAGCACAGAGGATAAGAAACCTCAGCCTGCCCATGCTAGAATGGAGAGCAAGACAATGCTGTGCCCACACCAGCTGTAACAGAAGCTCACTGAGTTGGAGAAGCCCATGGGTTTCTTGAATTGCCCTTGGGCCAGTATACTTCTACTGTGAAGGCTAAGGAAACACCCTCCCTGCTTCAATGAAGGAGTAGAGGGGCAGTTAAAAATGGACTATGTCTATTCTTAATTGAAATAGAAAAGAGGCATGTCCTTGCCTGAGCCATAGGTGTTGACATAGACTGATCAGTCTGAGAATCCCCACTTTCTCCTTTATAAATGTTGCCAGGGGCTCTCTGGCCTCTCATAGGGTCCTCTGAGAACAGAACTTCTGAAGTCTTGTGACACCAATGGAAAGCTTCCCTCCACCTCCACTGCCACCAGATTGATGCCAAAAATTGAGAATTCATGTTCATTTAAAAACACAGGAGTGAACATTTCTTTTTTTCCTCCCCTCAGCTATTTTCATCTGTTACTTTTGAAACTGTTGGAGAAAGTAAGGTAACAACATTTTTTCTGTTTTATTTTGGGTTATTTTTTGCAGCAGGGTCTTCTTGTGCATCTGAGGCTGACCTTACACTCTGCCTTCTCACTCTGCCTCACATGCTAGGACTACAGGCATATGCTGTCATGCCCAGCGGAGAACTATTCATTAAACTCTCAGATTCTTATTCTTGTAATTTTAGCTATGAATACCTCAGACTCATTATTAATCTTGATTTTTATGTGTATGGAAGGGTTAGGAAAGCATATAGAGACACATGGTGTTTTTCTGGGGGCATCCTAGAACAAATCTGAACACACAGGTTCATAGAGACCATGACTGTCACTTCATTTTAACCTGAGATAGATATAGATTTTGAATCTGCTGTCATGTGGTTTTCAGCTACATTAATGAGTTTCATTGAATTATCTCTGCATTTGGGGAATGTCTCTCTAGGCTCCCAGGAGTCGTGCAGTGAGGAACGTGCGGAGACATGCTTGTTCCTCCATCAACAAGATGTGCCGGGACTACCCTGATCTTGTTCTGGTAAGCTGCTGGCCCCTGCTGTGTCACCAGAGTCCTTTGTGACTGCTGCTTTCTTCCTTTTAGCTAGAACAGTGTTCTCAACCTTCCTAATGCTCTGACCGTTTAATATACTTCCTCATGTTGTGGTGACCCCAACTATAAAATTATTTTCGTTATTACTTCATGACTGTGATTTTGCTACTGTTAGGAATCGTAATGTGAATATCTGATATGCAGGATATCTGTTAGGTGACCCCCAAAGGGGTTGTGACCCACAAGTGAGAACCACTGACCTCATGATACAGCTTAAAATTTGATGAACAGTTCTTTTCTGTGTGAGTTTATCTTTTCTGAGTTTATCCCTCTAAATGAACACCCTCTTACTCTGTGATGCTTTCAATTCCTATTGTACATGGTTGTCTGATTTTGAGAGGTGCCAGATACAGATTTCAGTAGTTTCTGTGAGGTTCTTTAAAAAGTTAACATTAGCCCACATAAAAAGATTACTGTAAAATTGCTTCTCTGAATACATAGTAGCTGTTTCTGTGTATAAGCAATAGATCCGACTTTTATGGAAGATACAGTAACACTGATGTAGAAAAGTGCCAGACTCAGCTGCCCTTGGCCTGTCTCCTTACTATTCAGACAGCGACAGACATGACAAAATTACATAGGCCTGATTCTCCCAGACTGTCTTGGTTTTTTCTGGCATCCTTGAGTGGCCATTTCCCTGAAAATCAGGCCTCTTTTCTTTGTGATACGCAGCCCAATTTTGACATGCTTTATAGCCATGTGAAACAACTCCTCTCGAATGAGCTACTCCTAACCCAGATGGAGAAGAGTGCCCTCATGGAAGCCCTGGTTCTCATTAGCAACCAGTTTAAGAATTACGAGCGACAGAAGCTATTCTTAGAAGAGCTGATGGCACCAATGGTCAACATCTGGCTTTCTGAAGAAATGTGCAGGTATAGGAGGTCTTGGGGAGCACTTGCACTTGGGTAGAACTGGTCTACTTCTAGCTGTGCGGGGGATACACCGCACTGTCAATGATACCTTGAACTCTCTGAACATTTAATCTCCTCTCTGAAAATGTCACCTTGCTCTATGGAGGTGAGGTAGGGAGGGGGTGGGCAAAGATGGCTAGCATAAAGAGTGTAAAGCTATATGATATTTGCAGTGTGGCCTCAACATCTTTGTAAAAATAATCAAGGTGGGGGGGCGGTTGGGGATTTAGCTCAATGGTAGAGTACTTGCCTCCAAAGCACAAGGCCCTGGGTTCAGTCCTCAGCTCCGGAAAAAAAAAGAATATAAACACTTATTATGTTGTAAAGACAATTATGTTGCCAGATGGTGGTGGCACACGCCTTTGGTCCCAGCACTCGGGAGGCAGAGGCAGGCAGATCTCTGTGAGTTCCAGACCAGCCTGGTCTACAGAAGAAAAGAAATAACCACAGTGGACCCTGGTACCTGTGTTTCCCACATAGTAGAGGACCTGTTTATTTTGTCAACTTCTTAATTTGTAAAATATATAGTGATATTTGGGAGTAGGAATGATGTTTGTAATCTAATAATCTGTTAGCTTTTTAATTTGGTTTCTTGAGACAGAGTCTCCTGTAACCCAGGCTGACCTTTTGGTAATCAAAGATCCCAGGAGGACCTTCAGCTCCTGATCCTCATTGTCCTCTTCCTCTCAAATGCTGGTGTTTCAAACCTGTGGTAGTCATGCTTAGTGGAGGAAGTTGTCCTTCCTTAAAGTCATGATACAGGGAAGCTAAGGTAGTGCATGCCTTTAGTTCCAGCAGAAGTCTCTGAGTTCGAGGCCTACCTTATCTACATAGTAAATGCCAGGCCAGCTAGACCCTGTCTCAGAGGAGAAAAAAAAAAAATCTGGGAGTCTCAAGATGTTAAAAGAGCACAAGGCTCAGGTTCATCCATTTCCAAGTGTTACATGGTGTCTCACAACAATCTGCACTTCCAGTCCCAAGGAATCCAGTGTCCTTTACTGACCTCTGCAGTACCAGAAACACTTGTGCACAGACATAGGTGCAAGCAAACACTCCAAAAATATATTTTTTAAAGATTTTATTTATTTATTATGCATACAATATTATCCATTTATATCTGCACACCAGAAGAGGGCACCAGATCTCATTATAGATGGTTGTGAGACACCATGTGGTTGCTGAGAATTGAACTCAGGACCTCTGGAAGAGCAGTCAGTGCTCTTAACCTCTGAGCCATCTCTCCAGCCCCCCAAAATATATTTTTTAAATGATGGTGTAGGTGCTGGAGGGATGGCTCAGTGGGTATGAGGCCTTAACTGCTTTTCCAGACGACCAGAGTTCAGCGCTAAAGACAGCGGGTTGACCTGTTCACAGCTGCCGTAACTAGCTCCAGGTGGCCAGTGGCCTCCACCTGCGCTCACATAAACATACCCACACATGTAACATGACCTAACTTTTCCTCCCCCTCCTTCAGAGTGCTCAAAGACATTGATGCCTTCATTGCCTATGTTGGAGCCGATCTGAAAGGCTGTGACCCAGCTGTGGAGGATCCATGTTGCGCAAACCGTGCTCGAGTAAGACTGCTAAGACTGCTGGGAATGGAAAGTTGCACTGGCCATGGGCGGGAGTTAGGTTGTTGCCATTTATCAAGTCTCTCAGATTTGTTTTGTCTGTACTGGTGAAGAGACCCAGGATTTCCTCCTGCCCTAAGCTTCTCCTTTCTTTTCTTCTTTAGTCTTGAATTCTTGAGTTAGTTCCCACAGCAGAGCAGATGGTCTTTTCTATGAAGTCATTATTTTGGCTTTAAGGATCCCTAAGTAGCTTGGAAGACTGGAGGTGTAATGAGGAAGTAGGTCAGAGCTTGGTTGCAGGGTGAGTTCTCCCTGCCATTGCTTTCTGGCATGTGAAGGCCTAAGGAATGTCCAGGCCTTGAAAACCTGAGGCTTTCCAGTGCAAGGGTACTCAGATACGCCACTGTGCTGAAAGCCACATGAACAGCCTGGCATGAGGGGTGGGGGTTATGATGCAAGCTCTGGAGTCCCAGATGGAGGGTCAAAGGTAAAAATGACAGTTTAAACATGTTGGTGGTAGAGCTCATCCAAGCCACCCTCTAGACCCCTTAATGAAAAGGAAGCCTCAGAGCTACCACTGGTCCTGAAAATGGCAGTGAGAAGACCCCTCTTGGACTGGACCATAACAAAAAGGATAGGAATCTTGCTGGGGTGGGAGACACAGAGGCTTCTTCCTCTCTCTGCCTCTGTCACTGTGCTGTCCCCATGAATATTGTCACAGTGCTTTGCCTCTTATTCCTTGCTATGTCTCTCATTCTTCTCTGTAGATAACCTTTTGTGTGCACAGCATTCTGGGGGTTTTGAGACGAACTAGCTGGCCTTCCGACATAGAAGAGGCCAGAGCAGGGGGGTTTTTGGTGGGTTACACACCCAGTGGAAATCCAATCTTCCGTAACCCCTGCACAGAGCAGGTCCTGAGACTTCTGGACAATTTGCTGGCCCTTGTAAGGTGAGTCAGAATGATTGTATTTATTTTAACCTATGAATCTCAGTGTCAACTTTTATGTCTGATCATCCTGGTGGTATGGGATTAGGTCCTGGTTCTTTTGAGAGGGGGGCTTTCTTTTTTAAAGACAGTTGCCCTCCCTGTATAAGGTGGACTCTTGGTTTTTCGAGACAGGCTTTCCTTGTGTAGCTTCCTTCGGAACCTGTCTTACAGTTGTCTCTTGTAGACCAGGCTGGACTCACAAAAGAAACCACTGCTTCTGCCTCCAAGTGCTGGGATTAATGGCTTGCGCCACCAACGCCTGGCCAAGATCCCAGAATAGCATTTTCTAATCTCTGTTGTTATTTGTTTTGTGTTTTGAGACAGGGTTTCTCTGTGTAACAACCCTGGCTCTTCTAGAACTGGCTCTGCCTCCCAAGTGCTGGGATTAAGGTCATGTGCCACCACATATTCAAATGCAAGCTGTCCAGTCTAGGCTTGTTGGTTATGAGAAGTACACTTTTTGAGCTTTATAGAAGTAAAATTTGGGGAGCACTTATGACGCAGAAGCAGGCAGATCTCAGAGTTTGAGGCCAGCCTTGTCTACAAAGCAAGTTCTAGGACAAACTTCGAAGCTATACAGGGAAACCCTGTCTAAAAAAAAAAAAAAAAAAAAAAAAAAAAAAAAAAAAAAAAAAGCACTTCTTGGTATCTGATCTTTTGCTCAATAACATGGTGTGAGAGCCATCCAAGTTGCATCCAGTTTTAGCTGGGATATGTTTTTTCTCACTGCCTCCATGGTATTCTAATATGTAGCTATGTTGTGTCTTATTGGCTCTGATGGACTTTTGGATAGAGTTTTGATAATATACAGTGCTGTGCTTGCAATCTGGGAAAAGTCCTGATCTTTGAAATCTTGTTTGTTATACGCAACAGAGTAGAATTCCCAAATTGCAAGTTACCTATGTTTTCAGTTTTCATAGCTAGGACTCCTTTCAGGTGTGTACTGATTGTGCCCCCTGCAACTGTGTGCAGGGATGATGAAAAGTTTTTGTTTCTTTTTGTTGTTGTTGTTTCTTTGTAACAGTATCCTGCTGGCCCTTTTTGTGTGGGAGAGGGGTGCACTTATATGTACAAGTACATGCAGAAGTCAAAAACTAATGGCTGGATGTCTTTCCACATTACCTCTCTGCCTTATTCTTTGAGACAGTCTCCAACTTGAACCTAAACCTGGAAGTTTGGCAAGAATGGCTGATCAAAGAGCCCCTGGGATCTGCCTGTATCTGCTCACCTCAGTACCAGGATTATAGGCGTGTACTACCATGCCTGGTTTATACATGGGGTTTGTTTGGATCCAAGCTCAGGTCTTGGTGCTAGTATTGAAAGCACTTTACTCACCGACTCATTTCCCCAGACTCCTTTTACATTTTTTCTTTTATTGTTTTTTCGAGACAGGGTTTCTCTGTGTAGCTTTGGAGCCTATCCTGGCACTCGCTCTGGAGACCAGAGCTTTGAACTCACAGAGATCTGCCTGCCTCTGCCTCCGGAGTGCTGGGATTAAAGGCGTGAGCCACCAACGCCCGGCTGTTTTTTTTTTTTTTTTTTCATCCTGTTTGGGGATAATCATTTCTATTCTTTGGGGTTTATATAACACAGGCTGGTCTCTAATTCACTGTGACCTTGAACTCTTGGTCCTCTTCCTCTACCTCCCAGGTGCTACCATACCCAGGTATAGTATATCACATACAGTCACATCACTTGAGACACTAAGGCAGCAGTCTCTTTGGGCATAAGACTTGTCCCAAAAAACAAAGCAGATAGACATGTTTTCACATGCCTTTAATACCAGCAGCGGCTTCAAAGCCAGCCTGGTCTACAAGTTCTAGGCCAGCCAAGACTGGGTACTGAGTTTTTTGTTTTTGTTTTTTTTCTTTTACAACTGAGAAAATTTTGTTCCAGAAAGCAAATTGAACAACACACGATTTTGTGTTTTCTGAGAGTCTTGCTATGTTGTCAAGTTGACCTTAAATTTATAATTTTCCTATCTTAGTGTTAGATTATTTTTCCTAGGGAGACATGATCAACTGTCAATGTTCACTCTAGATAGAGCAGAGAAACAGTTCCACCTATATCTGCATGGTGACTCATGAGTTTACTGGGTTCAGTTGGGAGCGTGGATGACTCAAAGGCAGCTTAAAAAGCAAAATGCCGGCCTAGCAGGCACCCCTGCAGCTTCTCGCACCACTCACTTCCACTGGAATGGCCTCTCCTGCCTGGAGAGTTGCATCATGGACCTTCTCATGAGCTTCCTGAGTTTTATGGGCCTTTCATAAGAGAGTTTCCACCCATATAAAATAGCTACTCGCTACTCACTCTCCTGAATTCAGACCCCAGAGTCCCCATGGTGAAATCAGAAGTTGGACGTGGCCCTGCACAACTGTACTCTCAGCTCTATTCCATAGGATGAGTGGGGCAGGATTGCTGCAAGGTCAAGGCAAGCTTGGGCTTGCATAATGAAATTCTGTCTCAATAACGCACTTGCACAAATACAGAATGAGCTCAAAGTCACCTGGGGATATTGCTCAGTAGTAGAGTGGTAAACGTGTGAGGCCTGCTCTTCATCCCTGTTCAGGCTGCAGCAGGTAAGACACTTGCTGCCAGTTCACCTGTGTTCAATTCCTAGAATCTACATGGTTCAAGGAGAGACCCAGACACCACCCACCCACCTTCCCTACCTCCCTTCTTCCCTTCATCCACCCCCCTCTCTCGCTCTCTTGTGGTTTTCAAAACAGGGTTTTCCTATTTAGCTCTGGCTGTATTGCAGCTCACTCTGTAGGAGAGAGATGCACTCTTGAACTCAGAGATCTGCCTGTCTCTACCTCCCCAGTGCTGGGATTAAAGGTATTCCCAATGCTTCCTGATGAGAACCAGATTGTTACAGGTTGTCCTCTGCCCTCCCACATGTTGTCCATGGTGGACACATGCACACACCCACATAAATAAATATAATAAACATTTATATAAACATTCATATAAAAATTTAATATAAGCTCGGTATAGTGGGAGACACCTGTAGTCCCAGCACTTGGGAAGTATATGCAGGTATATCTCTATGAGTTTGAGGCCAGACTGGTTTACAGATAAAGTTTCAGGTCAGCCAGAGCTACATGGTAAGTGAGACCCTGTATTTAAAAAAAAAAAAAAAAGACAATGCACTATGTGCCCTCACCATGACTGGAAGCTGTTCTACACTTTGGAGAGGTGTTAGTAGACATGACATTGTGCCTAAAGACACATATGAGGTGCCCTGCTGTGTATTCTACACACTGTGTGCTTGGCTATTCTTGTAGACTGACCTTTTCATTGGTCGGCCTCCAGTAAATGACACAGATTTATTATTAATCATGAAAGCCTGGACAATAGCTTAGGCTTATTTCTAACTAGCTCTAATAACTTAAATTAACCCATTTCTATTAATTTACTTTCTGCCTCATGGCTTTTTACCTCTATCCCATTTTGTGTGTCCTACTTGTTTTGTGTCTATCTGGCTTCCCAGCTTTCTGCCCCCCAAATCCTGCCTGGCTGTTGGCCTTTTAGCTTTTTATTAAACCTGTCTGAGAGATACTTCATCACAGTGTACAAAAAGATTTTTCCCCATCATTTCCCCCATTTCTTCTAAAAAAGGAAAGGTGTAACATGGTAAAACTATATACAAGGATTATACTTACAATGTTCAGTCCATTTGTATTGGTAGATTCAAACAAATACTCCATTATTTATCCTATCTTTGTGACTCCAAAGATTTGTACCTAATTTACTTCATGTCATAGCTAGTCTTCAACTTCCTCAAAGACCCCAGAAGGATATAATATTACCTGAGTAAACAGGAAGTGCAGAGCAAGCAACTTCCAAAACTATAGAAATGGCAGACATATGGCTGCATGGACAGTTACCCCAAGGTTCCTCTGCAAAGTTGGGGCATCCATCTTTGGCCTACAGACTTAGAATATCTGACAGACTATTTTTTTTTATAGGGCAGTAATTTTGAAGGACTGTTCTGCTGAACTTGGCAAAGTTCAGCAATCACTTTCCTGTGTGTCCTACAGAATTTCTGACAGGTTTTTCTATAAAGCAGAAATTTTGAAGGATTGCCCTACCTCATATTGGCAAAGTTTAACAGACTTTTTTCTTTGTGTCCTATTTGTTTAGTTTGTACATCATACATCTTTGGATGACCTTGAAAACATATGTAACATGACTAAGTTTATTGTTATAGATGACTACTAACCTATATTTATTATCCTAAATAGTTTTTAAGGATTAAAACTTTACATTTTTAAATGAACTTCATAGATACAATACTTTAAACAAGAATGGAAACATATACATTATAATAAAAATAACCTTAAATTTGTGTCAATACACAAAAAATATCTTACACAAGAACAGAAACATACACAGTATAACAAAATAACTTTGAATTTTATCAATATATAATAATCCATAACCAATGTAAAATATTTGGGACTAATAGTTGGTTTCTTTTTTTTTTTTTTTTTAGTTTTAAAATCAATATAATAATTACACTTTTAACCTATCATTTCCTTTGCTTAGTAGCCTCCCTGACCATGACCCTTGTAACTAAGCCTCCTAAGGGAAGACAAGCATCTATCAAAAGACTAAAAATTACCCATCCTGCCTTTTGGGAATGTGGGCTTATGTTCTCTAGACTGCTTCCTGTTTTCTGAGGAGACTCTGAAAATTAGGATAATGGCCAAGTCCTGGGTAGAATAGTCTGTGAGGCTGGACCATCTCAGTCGGTAGCCTTGAAGCTATTCTGGATGCAGAATTCTGCAAACACTGCAACAGAGACACTCTGAGATGCTGGATCACCTGGGCAACCCATTTTCATTGGTGTCTAGTCCCCTTGCTCTGAAAACACATAAACATTCAAAGGTAACACGTCTGTATTAACACAAGTGTGAAATGTGCAGTGTGCACAAGTCAGTTGAAGATGATTTTTTTCTTTTATGTTTGAGCAGGTAAAATATGTATCACCTTCCTTGTAGTTTTTCTAGGTTTATTTCTTTACATCTGTAGCCAGGATTTTTAGGGGTCTTCCCCAGTCAAATCTGATCTTTAACCTTGATCGAATCCACAGCCTTTTGTTTTCTGTGGAAACAAGCATAACCTCTTCTCCAACATAACTTTTTTTTTTTTTTTCTTTTTGAAGGCTGTCGTGGAACTAGCTCTTGTAGACCAGGCTGTTCTCAAACTCACAGAGATCCTCCTGCCTCTGCCTCTGCCTCTGCCTCTGCCTCTGCCTCTGCCTCCTAAGTGCTGGGATTAAAGGCGTGTGCACTTCCGCCATGACACAACATTTTTTGACTTGCATTTTGCTGTTAAGACATTGTAAAATATACAGGTCAGTTTAATTTAGCAGTTTCCATAATCCAGCGTTTCTCAGCAGCTATTGTTTGCGCATAGGCATTCAAAACATTGAAGGACAGCCAACACAATAGCATATAGGATCCAGACTCCTGTCTACGAGTTCAAGGCCAGCATGGTCTACAGAGCTCCAAAGCCACAAAGAAGCCCTGTCCCAGAAAAAAAAAAAAAATTAAAAATACCTATGCACATTTTAAAACGCTGGAACCTGTTAAGAGGTTTTTCCCATCTGAACCTGTTTTATTGCATATCTATATTATCTTTTTTGTCTGCATTAAGTGAAACCTTAAACAGCTACACAGCTGACAAGCAGTGACAGGGGCATATCTGTACCTTGGCCTGCATGAGAGTCTGCGGAACTAAGAAGACACATTGACTCCATTTTTGTGTCTTTAGAAACTTAAAGCTTTCTCAGTGGAAATATGTGGAAATGCATGCCCCATATTGGCCACCATTTTTAGGAGGACCCTTTCATTGGTCCATCAGCTCCCCAATAAATGACACAAAGACTGACTTATTAGGAAAGCAAGGCTGATAGCTTGGGCTCATTTCTTACTAGCTCTTATGACTTAACCCATTTCTATCTTTACTCTCTGCCTGTGGCTTTTACCCTATCCCATTTTGTGTATCCTACTCATTCTATGTCTATCTGGCTTCCCCACCTTCTTCCCAGTTTTCTGCCCCCAAAATCCTGCCTGGGTGTTGGCCTTTTAGCTTTTTATTAAATTAATCCAAGTCGGGCTGGAGAGATGGCTCAGCCGTTAAAGGCTAGGCTCACAACCAAAAATATAAATTAGTCGAAGTGACGCTTCATCACAGTGTTCAAAAAGATTATTCCACAACACATTCTGAGTACTTCAGTCACCTTCAGTAATAACTGTAGCTTATTGTCATGTTCATAATATTCTTCTAGACTAAACAAACTTTAATAGATTTTTTTAATGTTTTGAATGTTTATGCTCAGTTTAAAAGGCTGAACATATTGCAGATATCATGTTTTAACACTGTAAATCCACCACATGGTAGATGGAAGCAGGAAGACAAAAAGCTCAAGACCAGACTCTACAATATAGCTAGTCTGGGCCAACCTGCTGCCACCTGTGGACTACCCACAGAGGCTTCAGAGGGTGTCAGATTCCCTGGGACTGGTTACACCAAGTTATTAATCTCCAAGTAGGTGCTGAGAATTGACCCCTGTCATCTCTAAGAGCAGCAAGTGCTCCAAGTGCTCTTGGCTGGTAAGCCCTTTGTTGTTGCTTTTTACATTTGTTCATTTTGTATGGTGTCGGCTCAAGTATACTGTGGAGATCAGAGGACAGCTTGTAAGAAGTTTTTTTGTTTGGTTGATTTTGTTTTGTTTTCTGAGGCAGGGTTTCCCTGTGGCTTTTGAGGCTGTCCTGGCACTAGCTCTTGTACACCAGGCTGGCCTCGAACTCACAGAGATCTGCCTGCCTCTGCCTCCTGAGTGCTGGGATTAAAGGCGTGTGCCACCACGCCTGGCCAAGAAGTAATTTTCTTATCCCTATGAGTCTCAGGGATCAAACCTAGGTCATAAGTCTTGATGGCAAGCCCCTTTACTGCTAAGCCATCTCACCAGCCCCTGGAATGTTTTCTTCATATCCTTATTCTGAAAGTGCATTGGCACTTGCTTGTTTTTTAGTTTTTAAACTTGTAAAATGAACGCACAGCCATGTATGATGTAGCCCTATGATGCCTACACTCAGGTAGGTCAGGAATTCAAGGCTAGCACTGACTACCTAGTGAGTGTAAGACCATTCTGAATTAGATGGGATCCTGCCCATCCCCCCCAAAATGAAGGCATAGACTCACATTAGCCTAGGCCTGCTCAAGATCTGTGTCATGAGCTGTTGGGAGAGATGTTAGGAGATGTTGGGCCCCACCTCCCATGGGGGTCTCTGTGAGTTGCTTGTCAGCCAATAATCACAGGTGCATCCTGTTCTCTAGTCCTGGCTCACAGCCTGGCCTTTCCCCATTGGCATCAACATCTAGTATGAGGAAAACACAGGCTCTTACACCTGGTGTTTCTCCACTGTGCTTTAAATCTGTATATAAGGCTGCCCCCTCCCTGCAAAAAAGACAGACACACACATTCTCTTAGCTCAAGCGACCAGACAGTTCTGCTTTTAACTAATCTCCAGGCTTTCGCCTGATACTCAGACTTAGTTGTGGTAGGGACGCCACAATGAGCATTAGTCCTCTTGATAGGTATGCAGGAACCAGGTATGGTGGAGCAGATCTGTCCCTAAAACTTGGGAGGGTGGCGAAGGAGCATTAGCAAAAGTTCAAAGACAGCCTAGCCTACAGAGTAGACCCTATCTCAAAAAAGTTCTCCCAGCCAGTGGCATACATAGAACTATCATCTTGATTATGAAACCTGGGATCTTCAATGTGACCTAAGGCTTTTTAGAAGCTTTCAAAATCCTCTATGTGGAGGGGGAAATACGCTGAAGTTTGCTTGTTTGTTTTGTTTGGTTTTGTTTTTTGAGACAGTTTCTGTGTAGTCATGGTTGTCTTAGAACTTGATCTGTTAGCCAGGCTAGCCTTGAACCCCTGCCTGCTTGTGCCACCAACTGGCTGTTCGCTTTTTGAGAAAGGCTCTCTCTATGTAGTCCCGGCTGTCTTGGAACTCAATCTGTAGAGCAGGCTGACCTCAAACTTACAGAAATCCTCCTGCCTCTGCTTCGTGAGTACTAGGACTAAAGGTGTATGCCACCATGGCTAGCTCTGAAATGATTTTTTTGGTTTTTTGAGACGGAATTTCTCTGTGTAGCCCTGACTGTCATGGAAATAGTTCTGTAGACTAGCCTGGCCTTGAACTAGCAGAGATCTGCCTGCCTCTGCCCCCCAAGCCCTGGAATTAAAGGCGTGTGGCACCACAAGCAGCTGAAATGAGTTTCAAAGTCCAGTAATACATGAAATAGTAACAGTCACTGATTGTCACTCTACTGCATACTGCATATAATAATGTGCCAGAGTTTTGTGAGACCATCAGTGCAATAGATTTGTTGACACTACATTCACTAGAGCGTCAATGCAGCCACATGGCAAAGTGATGAGCATCTTTCTTTCATGGTTTGTCCTACAGGAGCCCTCTCAAATGTGTGTTATTGACCAAAACATCATTCTGTGGCACATATCTGTCTGCATTTAAATTTGTTAGTGCCTGTCATTTTCTGCATATTTCAAATGTTTCAAAATAAATCTTTCAGAAGAAACATAGGAACTTGGTAGCACAGGCTTTTAATGAAAATTCAAGGCCACTATGGGCTACAAAATAATTTCAAGGCCCACTTGGGTGAGTTAGGAAGCTCTTATCTCAAAAATAGTCTTCTGAGCACAGTGACACATACTTTTAATTCCAGGAGGTCAAGTGAGAAACTCCGTAAGTTCAAAGCCAGCCTAGTCTATATAGCCCTTCCTGGGTGAGCCAGGGCTACATAGTAAAACCAAAAAAACCTTTTTTTTTTTTTTTTTTTTTTTTTTTTTTTTTTTTTTTTAGTCAAAAGATAGCTGAAGGGGCCAGAGAGATGGCTCAGAGCTTAAGAGCATTGGCTGCTCTTCCAAAGGACGGGGATTGGTTCATGTGGGCTGCTCACAACCACCACCTGTAGCTAGCTGCACCTCCCGGGGATCTGATCCTTCTGGCCTTGCTCCATTGTCCTGCTGTCTCAGGGTTTGGTGTGTGTTATTAGGCCATGGGGACTGCATGCTGTGAAGTTAACAGCTTCAAGGCTGCATCTTTCTCTCAGGATCCTTAGATGTTTATTTTCTTTCCCCCTGCTGTGAGTAATGTTGATGAGGGAATCTATTTGAAAGACTAACAAGATGTTTCCATAACTGTTCTACCTTTGGAGTTCTGACAGGACACACCCTCAACTTCTGCCACTGCCACCACCTGTGCCTATTCACTGTGCTCCCTTTTAAAAGGGCCCTGCCCACCTCTCATCACCCCCCCACCCCACCCCACCCCCCGCATTTTTCCTCTCTCCTGCTGCTCCTGTCCTTGGAGGCCGGTCTCTCTCCTCCCCTTTCCCTTTTTGCCATACTTTTTCCCTAATAAAAACTCCACTTGAACTCTGTTACATGGTGTTTCTCTCTATAGCCACTTTTTTTTATTATTATTAATTTATTTTTTGCATTCCATCCCAGTTCCCCCTCTGTCCTCTCCTGCTCCTCGCCTTTCCTCCTCCAATCTGCTCCTCAGAGAGGGTAAGGCCTCCCCTGGGAAGTCTACTAAAGTCTGTCCCATCATCTCATTGAAGCAGGACCAAGGCACCTCTCCACCCTCCAAATCCCTGTGTTTAGGCTGAGCAAGATATCTCTCCATATACAATGGACTCCACTAAGTCAGTTTGTGCATTAGTGTTAGGTCTTGGACCCATTGCCAGTGGCCTCATTGAGCCACTTTTTTAAAATTACAACAATAACATCTTTATTTCTTTCAGAACCCACAATACTTTATATGCACCAGAAATGCTAGCCAAAATGGCAGAGCCTTTCACCAATGTTCTGGATATACTTGAATCGGAGAAAACAGCAATATTAGGTAAGGAAGTTTTACCTCCCTTGCTAACCCAACCTCCTAATGTGATGGAAATATATTTGTGGAGCTCCTAGAGGTGCTAAAAGAGTCCCTGCATCATTGATACTCTTCATCTTAACCTGGGTGTCTTCTGAGCAGCTTCTCCCGTTCATCCCTGTGGAGGGATTTTTCTTTGTGCCGCCAGCTCACAAAAACAACATGGACACTTACTAATTATGAAAGCTTCGGCCTGTCCCACTAGCTCTTAGAACTTAAATTAATCTACATTTTTGTCTCGTGGCTTTTTACCTCTCTACCTCTCTTCCATCTTACACCTCCTGTTTCTTTGTCTCCTC